CAATCCCATCAAACACATAGGAAAACTTTCTGGGTCGTCAATCCTGAACCATTGAACACTGAATCTGAAACTAAACTATCAAAAAAGATTTTTTAGCACGCAATCCCATCATTCTAATACCATGTAACATAACCCGATCAGATTTATACAACGCGGGACACAGATATCTAAAGCCAGCTATTGGGAAAATAATAGGTTTGTTTTAATTACGCCAATATATATCGACTGTTACCAATCAATGCCATGCTGACTAAATGATGTTATTTAAGCAAAAAAAAGTTACATCAGGAAGTAATTTAATAAACACGTGTTCGTTTTCGACGTACTTCTCCAAAAATTGTGTTAAGATAGAGCTTGGTGAATCAAATTAAGTGTCAATTCTCTGAGTACCGGAACATACTGTCGTACGCGGAAACGAATACGCAGACGAACTAGCCAGAAAAGAAGCAGAAACACCGATGATGGGGCCGGAACTTTTTTATGGTCTAAGACATAGTACGGTCCTTTCTCTCATAAAAATAAAGGAGAACCAGAATAAAAAGGATTACTGGAATAATATACCAGAACTAAAACAATTTAAATCACTTATTGGTACCTATAACAAGGAATCCTAACAGGGCACTGTAAACTAAAATACCACTGAGTACACATACTGATGCAAACTGTAGATTCTGTGAAGAGAATGAGGAATCGGCCACACATATACTGTTAGAATGCCCTGCGCTAATGCACATACGGAAAAGGCTCATGGGAATGTATAATCTTACGGGAGAGGCAATAAAACTGTTTATTGAATTTATCTGCCCAGCTCTACGCTAAATGTAAATTTACAAAGATATACGCAATTCAAACATTGTATAGTATCGCTGGGTAACGTTAACACTTCTATTTCAATTACAACAATAAGATATTATACTTATTCTCTATCAAAGATATTATAATTTTTAATATGTTTAAATTTATATTATACTTTGGTGAGATAAATTGCATCATTGCAGTAAGTGAATTAGTAAGTGAATCAATAAATTGAAACCTCACCTGAAACAAGTAATCTTATTTCAAATGAAATTTTAAGAAAGAGATCTGGTTCTTAGAATTATTTTTATAATACAAATTTATTATAAATTGCTTATCTCTATACAAAAATTAATTTATTTAACCGAATATCAATTAAACTTACTGCATTACTTACCTAACGTCGTCCTTCTCTCCTAGTAGAGCATAGGACCTCAGAAATAATCTGATTTCAAATGAAATTTTAAGAAAAAAATCATTCTTAGAATTATTTTTATAATGCAGTATTTATTTTAAATTGATTATCTGTATACAAAAATTAATTTATTTAACAATATATCAATTAAAGTTATTGCATTAGTATAAAGAAAAACTCTTTTAGTCTACCATATATGTTATTAATTGATTTTAAAATTAACGTGTTTTAATTTTACGCGAATAATTTGATAATTATCATGATTTTAACCAATGTTTTTAATATGTAATGACATTTATTCCACTCTGTAACCAAGTCCGTTTTGCGTTACTTTATACTTGTGAGATTTGAATCCATTAAAACCACCTCTTAGGAATGAATGGAGAAGATTTTCACAGCAATGTGGAAACTTCATTCTAGTAATCAGGGCAGAGAAATGAAAGCAGGTAGGTTTAATACTCTCCGGCTCTTAATATAATCATGTCTTAAATGTGGTTTAAGAAATTTATCAGACATTAATATTTTTTAACATGTACTAAATATCAAACATGTTGGTTCGCCACCAAGAGTAGGTGGATCCATGTTCTGCATATATGCATATCACTAAGACCTAAATGACATTTGATTGCGTTAGCCAATTGAATAATTTCTCATTTGTATCTTTCTCCAATATATGTATGTTAATTAATGTATGTTAATGTGTTTCACTTTTTGTTTCTGATTCCTACTAAAAGTTATAAAAAAATTTTCAGATTGTGCCATTTGCTATAAAATTTCAGTAAAAATTTATGAATAATAACCAAACTCAAATGAAGATATACATTTCAAGATATACATTACTATACATCTATAGTATAGTAGTAGTATTTATCTTTATTTTACTTTATCTTAAATATGTTGTATTGCAAAGAAATTTATAATAATTATATTATATATGTAAAGTTTACAGCAATGATATTTTCACCGTCTGCCGGAAGTTTAGATGAATATTTTATTAACTTATCTTAAAAATTAAATAAAAATTTTTAGTAATAAATTTAATTGTACAATATAAATATTAAATTAAATTACTTTAACAAGAGTGACAAATTTCATATTAACTAATTTAGAAATCTCCATTTATTATCTTTAGCCTGTTTTTTTACAGCATTTAACGATACATCTATATATAATACATCTATATATACGATCACATACAGATCAACTGATTTTGTCTATTAATGAAATTCTACTTATCAACATACCATGACATACTGTAATGTTAAATTACTACTCGCGATGTTAAGCGTCACAAATGTGTCACAATCTATTAGGAAGTAATGACATATATACCGAGTACATTCCAAAGCAATTGTACCTATAAGTGAAGTATGAATTGTAACTAATATTACACTTTTAAAAGAATAACAATTTGGTCCAGATGATACGTATATATCTGGAATATATCTTTTTATAAAAATTATAGCAACAGATTTAAATAAAACTATACAGTTTATATACAGTTTCCGAACGTCTATTCTCAATGTTAAAAATATGTCAAAAATATCTCGATAAACCTAATATATCCGTTTTTGGTAATACTGGGTACATTTCAAAACTATTGTGCCTATAATTGAATTATTAATTGTTGCTAAAAATTAATAATTCAAAAAAATATAGCACTACATTTAGATAAAACTAACGTGTGGGCCCTATTTCGGGAAGCACAGTTTATACGGTTTCTGAACGTCTATTCTCAATGTTAAAAAAATGTTACAAATATCTTGATAAATCTAATATATCCATTTTTGGTAATACCGGGTACATTTCAAAGCTATTGTACCTATAATTGAATTATTAATTGTTGCTAAAATCATACTTTTAGAAAAATAACAATTTGTTCTAGATGATACGTACTTTATATCTTTAAAAAAAAATATAGCATCACATTTAGATAAAACTAACGTGTGGGCTCTATTTCGGGAAACACAGTTTATACGGTTTCTGTACGGATAAAATCGATGTTAAAAATATCTCGATAACCTAATATATCAATTTTTCGCAATTGTGTGAAGAGTACAAAAAATAAATTAAATTAAATAAATTATTTAAAATAAGAACACATTCATACCACAATTTAAATACTGAAAAAACTAGCTTTGATGTGTAATTCGATTTTGTTTCAGCAAAGAACAACTGCGAGAAGGTAATCGGAACTTTCCGGCTGTAATATTTTGCTGACACAATCTGGAATTTGTGTGTCATTTAAGAGATATTAAATTTTACTCTTCATTAACTGATTTCAAATAAAATTTTAAAAATGCGATTCTTTGAGTTGGTAGGCAGCGTACGAGGGTGGAGAATTTAAATCAGTTCATTCAAATTGAAATTGAAATTTAATTCCTATTTTAAAATCATTCTTGGCACCCTTGCTAATGTCAATTTAACTTTTCGAATATTTCCTTTATTAAGTTTTACTTTGTTGAAATAATAGCACTGGAGGTAGCGGTAATGAAATTTGATACGCCTTGTTTAATGCTCTTTTTATGGGTAACTGCAGCGTCAACTATTCAATAATTCTTGTACACAAGCGAAAAAAACGCCCTCGATAACTTTTCAGATTTGAATGAGTTGCCTCAGAGAGCAGAACACACGCATACGCCGGTTGGTGACGTACGAATTTCACTGGTCCCAGAATTCGTGGCCTAAGGCATTATTTGATTCACGCATATATTTTCATTTAGTGTCAGACGTCGTTGTTATTGTTTTTTCAGTGTTCGCTGGCTTGGCTCTGGATTGTTGAATAACTTGGCTGGCAAGTGTTAAATTCGCATGGGTTGCAAAGGGGCTCGGATGTTTACACTAAAAACAGCAGCACATAAACCATTAGCAGCGAAACACTCACTACTTACCCACTCAACACTTTTCAAAGCAAATTGCCCCGCAACATTTTCAGAGCTTGTGGAGAGATGCACATGCACTCACAAGCTCACTTTACAACCACATCAACGTATATGTGATTGCAAACACATTGAAACAAACAAAATCACAAAAACAAAATTTGGGTACCAAATTCCAGCTTGTTTTTTTATTTTTGTGCTTGGTGTGTGCGTGTATGTGTGTGTGTATGTGGTTTATTTTTTTCTGTCATTTGAAATGGGAAACGGGCGTTAGCACTTTGCGGATTGTTTGCAGCCCCTTAAGCATAACAAACAAGGATAAGTGAATTCCTTATCTTTTATTTCCTTATTGAAGTTTTTCTTGGTATTATGTTGGTTGTGGGGATGTGCGGATGTGCGGATATGCGGACGAAACGCGTTCTGCTGGCGCATGGTATAATCAAGTCAATTTTCGCTTTCACGTGGTATGTGTGACCGTATTCGATTGCTTAAAATAACACATTGCTACCAAAGAGGAGCAATCTTCTTCAGCATAGCTTTGGGTTGATTGTACAACTTTATTTTGACACTCGGGCACAAGTGTAAAGGCAAATAAATGCAAATGCAGGGCGCGTGACTTTTTACACTTGCTGTGTTGTGTACACATCACTACCATAATTTATTCATTGACGTCATATCTGGCGAGTAGCAACTCACTCGGTAGTAAAGTGTGAACGAATGTGAACGAATGTGACTGGCATGAGCCAGTTGAAATGACAACTGAATTTGGCAAATAAACACTTAAGGGCCATAAAAAATTAATTGCTGTGGGAAAATTTAACTTTTACCAATTTGTAGCATATAATTCTTCGGATCAATTATACTTGAACATCTTGAATGAACTAATAATTATTCTTTCTATTTCTTTTTAGGTGTGGTTCAAAAACCGTCGAGCTAAGTGTCGTCAGCAGCTTCAGCAGCAACAGCAGTCTAGTAGTCTTAATAGCGCCAAAAACGTTAATTCCGGATCCACTTCATGTGCATCGTCACGTAACTCATCGTCTACCGGCAACAACAACAACAACAACTCAGCCAACACTTCCAAGTCCAACTCACATCATTCATCGTCAAATAACAACAACAAATCCAGCTCAGGAGCTAGTATATCAAATGGGAATAATTCAAGTGGAAACTCTTCGGCGGCGGCGGCAGCAGCTGCTGCAGCAGCAGTAGCTCAATCAATAAAATCGCATCACAGTTCCTTCCTCAATTCTTCCGCATCCACATCTGCCACTACACCGTCAAGCTCGTCCATGAATTCACATGCACACCATATGTCTGGAAGTGGTTCTGGTAATTCCATCAGTGGTAATCCCGGATCACTGAATGTTACTGCAGCACATCAGAATTCATCTCCATTATTGCCTACGCCTGCCACCTCAGTTAGTCCGGTTAGCATCGTTTGCAAAAAAGAGCACATCAGTAGTGGCTATCCAACTGATGCATTGCGTGGTTCTTATGACACAATAAAGGAAGCTGGTGGTGACATTAGTTCTAACTCTCACCACCACAGTATCTATGGTACTGCCGCATCAGCGAATCCTCGCTTAGTGCAGGCTGGTGGCAATATAACACCAATGGACTCTAGCTCCAGCATCACAACACCTTCTCCACCAATAACACCAATGTCACCACAATCCGCAGCTGCTGCAGCTCATGCCGCTCAATCGGCTCAGTCCGCACATCATTCCGCCCATTCAGCTTACATGTCAAATCACGATTCATATAACTTTTGGCATAACCAATATCAACAATACCCAAACAACTATGCCCAAGCTCCTAGTTACTATTCCCAAATGGAGTATTTTAGCAACCAAAATCAAGTCAACTACAATATGGGCCACTCCAGTTATAGTGCTTCCAACTTTGGACTCTCCACAAGTCCTTCGTTCACAGGTACTGTCTCAGCTCAAGCGTTTTCACAAAACAGTCTGGACTACATGTCGCCACAAGATAAATACGTAAACATGGTGTAGAATCTGCTGCAAAAGTATTGCAGCAAACAGACTTAAATGGTATAATCTGAAAAAAGTCAAGACTGCAGTCGAGGATGCAGTTCAACTTGCTGCATTAATTGTGTTTGTCAAGTGACGACTTACAGAGAAGACAAAGAAATCATTTCAAGACATATCCAATGTTTCAGTGCACGCTCTGCAATTAATCAATCGAAGCTTTTTGTTTTAGATACATTGTTTTAATTAAATCCATTTTAGAAATTAGATTGTAAATACACTTAAAATACTTTAAAAACTCGTTTTAAAAATGCAGCCAACATCAACGAATATATCAGTGATAATGACAAACTATTTATAGGTTATTTGTTTGAAATTGAGTATGAAAAGGGCGGAAAGAAGAATAACCTGCAACTGAAAGGGGCCGAAACTGCAGTTGTAAGCAACAAATCTGACATATTTTTTATTCTTAATTTATAATTGCTCCAAAAATCATGCAGCCTCCTCCAGGGCTAAGTTTAATCGCAAATGAATCAAATGTAAAATGCAAAACAAATATAATTTATTCATAAGAGAAATAATTGTTCATAATTTTAATTTCAAGATGTATTTTAGACACCAAATCCCACAATTTTTATTGATTTCCGAAGCACGGCAATGAAAACAGATTTAAATTATATAATAAAGGTCCCAACAATTCTGAACAAACAAAACATTCATATCATTATATTGGCATTTGTAAAAATATTACAATATTTAATTATAAAATAAATTATATAATATACATATATAATATACATATTATATAATATATATAACATATGTATATGAAAATATAAGCCTTTTGTTTATGTAAAATTAAAGTAAGAGAAAGTTCAAAATCAAATTAACTCTGTAAACTGTTTACAAAAATTAAAAATATTTATAGACAAATGTGTACATATATACATATATTTATACATATGTGTGTACGAATTATATAAACAAATTTTAGTATAAGTACGTTTAGATAATAGTTAATAAATGAATTGGTTTATTTAAATGTTTTGAGCCTATATGCTAAATTCTTAAGTTATTAATTTTTGTTTGTTAATTAAAGTCAATAAAAAATTTTTTGTACAAATATTTAAATTTTTATCTACTAGCATCTAGATCTAGGTATGTTTATAGAGCCACTCCGTGTACTAACACGATGGGTTCATATATAAAAGTATTTCACATCCAAACTCAGTCGATTAATGCAAATTTTGATTTTCTCAATATTTATTTTTTTTGGAAAACATCCTTTATGTTCTATTTAATATTAAATTGTTTTTATGTAAGTTCAATATAAGTTTTCCTGTTTGCATGAGTATATAAATGCATTATATTTAATTAAATTGAGATAACTGTATAAATTTTGAAATATATGAAAACTAATATATAATTAAAACAGTTTTTTATTGAGATTTCCGTTCAGATTCGATATGTTTAAGATGTTTATATACATACATATACCATAATTAGTGTAATGTATATGCATTAAACATACATTAAACTCAGGGATGGCATACTTTTATGTTGTTTATTTAAAATTGTCAAATAATTAGATGGCATCAGTTTTATTCGTCTAATTTTATTAGCTGTAAATAGGCAAAGATTGCTATCCATTTGTGCCCACCGCTTATGCTCTTAGGATTCTTGCAGCTTCAATCAGCACGTGTTATTTATATTATTACTCGGTCATTTCATATTTATGTGGTTTCCATTCTTTTCAATCTCCCGTTTGAAACTAAACTCTTTACTTATGCATCATAACCAGCCGCATGCACGATTAATGAATTGGATTCTAAATTTTGCACTAAACGGAACATCTACGGAGTCCTTATCACACAATGCTCATTATTTTTTACTTATTTATTTTCAATTTGCCGCTTCCCACAGCTACCTTTTTGGCAGGCGGGGTTCGTAATGCGACTAATAACTGACAACTTGACTGTTTCTACTGACACGTGTCCTGTGTTAGAGCGCGTATCTTATTTTCTACCAATATTTATTAACCCAATGCATCTGAATATAAGTTAACTTATGACCAATGGCACCCTTAAGAGATGCTCGTTTCCTCACTTTATTCTAAAATAAATTCCTTTTGTAATATATTAGTTTGGTGAACTAATAATATACTCATTTATAATAATGAGATACATTTAAATTTATTAATAATCGTCAACATTTTAGAGGGCATTTTTTAATTAAATTCAAAATAATATTTATTTCATATGTTGAGAAAAACTCAATATTTTGAGCGAAAAGTTTAAATATATTATTTTGAACTGCCACATTGGTATTTATATAACTTCTTATTTGAATTTGTTTGTGTTTTATTTGTTAGTTTTGCTAATTTTTATGATTTTATATATCTTATATTTCTTTATTTACATTCCTCTGCTTTTCAACAGCTTCTTTCTACGTTGATAAACATATACAACACAAATGTTAAACTTAAAAAAAAAAACAGTAAACTCTAGTGTTATATATACCCAAAAAATTATTTCTGCTTTCATTCCGTTAAGAAGAAAAGAGAGAACAGTATAACGTGGCAGAAATACTTTTTCGCTTTATTACAAATAGAGGCGGTGTTCTATTTTTTATGAAGAATTTGGCGCCATCGTACTTTATGCTGTGACCCTTATAAGTGAGTAAGCTGTATATGCGGTAAACTATATGTATCACTCTCGCACGTAGCGTAACAGAGTGCTTGCTGTACATAACTAAATTTAATACAAAAGGAAAATATACGAAATGTTCAACTAAACACGAGCATTGTGTAATTGATATTTACTATTTTTCGTTTATTTACCTACATACATATATACATCAGCGAAGTTTTTTATAATTATTAGAACTAAGAGGTTGACAATCGGTAGTTCTCCTACAACAAATGTCCAAGGTATTTTACAGATGTGTATCTGAATTTTGTCATGCCAACACGTATTTATTTTATCATAACAAACGCTTGGAGAAATAAAGTATATAAAGAGTACACTTACTATATACTTTAACTCCCCAAGTTTTACATCAGTTATACAACTCCCATTTTTGGGCGTGAGCAAATGCAAATGTTTACTTGATTACTTGTGTCAAAATGCTTACAAAATACCAATAAAAATATTCACAAGAAATCTCAGAAAAATAAGTTGGCATCGAAATGTCCATAAAATAAATTTATATATACATACGTACTTGTATGTGGGTATAAGTACATGGTTTTTTAAATAGCCGTGCAAGATATGCTCACACATTATTGATTCTGAATACTCGTTCCCAATTGTATGAGGGGGCAAAATATTTATGTATAATAAAACAAAAAATGTAATGTTTTAAAGTCATATGAAATATATTTTGCATTACAAAATTACCTGAGTCGTTTGACTTTCGTCAATTATTTTAAATATCATTCACGCGCTTTCAATTTAATTAAATAAATGGAAGCACCAGAGGCAATGATAAAGCTTAAGACTATCACATAAACGACCATAACTGCTTTACGAGTACCAATCAAAAGTACTAATAATTAAATAAAATACTACAAATAAAAAAATAACCCATGACCATAATGGTTATTTTTTTTTTCAGCGGGGGGTAGCTAAAATTTTCTTTTTTAATTCACTTACTTTAATTTACAAAAGTATTACTCGGCCCATTCTGAACGCACCCCTTTCCATTTTCCAGGAAAAAAGAATTATATGAAATATATGGAACCAATCTGAAAGATGCTTTGCAATGCTAATTGGCATATGCTCAATTTAATGTCACCACAATAGTTTAAATAAATAAGCAATACCAGCAGGTTGGCGGAAGCACACCTCTGCAATTAGCAATTCATAGTAGCATCAACAACCGCGATGTAACTTATCAGCATGGTATATGGCATACAACTAAACCACCGCTCTGCACTGCGAACTGAAATTATATGGAAACAGATATGTGCAAATCCGTTGCCTACGGTGCCATCCATTGTCATTCGCTTGATTAGATACATTCTACATTCTGCATGCATTCTGTTTAATTTATAATAACGCGGCAAACACTTACGTAAGGACGTGCGCTGCGCGCCGCTCCGTTGCCATGGCCATGGAGTATTATCCACTCTTAGCCATCTTCAGATAATTATCATGCCAAATGGTATGATTTTATGTTAAAAATTAGACGAAAACAAAAATTAAAATACTAATTCCAATGCAAAATTCACATTACTAAAATATGGAAGACACAAATTGGTCGAAAGTGGCGAACGTTACGGTTTCAATTTTATAATCTTTTGAGAACTACTTATCTAATAGATTTGTCATTTTACCTAAATCAACTAACATAAAATAATAATTTATATATTTACTTGCTTAATTAGTCATTACAGGTCGCGTCTAGTAGTCTCCTCCAGCCAGCAAAAATAGTGACTTGTTGTCTCCAATTGATAGTACCAAGTATCTTCATATCGTTAGACGTCCTTTACTGCGTTCTCCGCTATCAGGTACCGGGTCAAATACCTTTCTAGCCAGAATCTTTTCATTTTTTCATAAATGGGACGCATATGAGACCATAGATCTTCTGAAGAATTTTGCTCTCGAATGCTACTTATGTCTTCTCTTCACTATTGGTCATTGTCCAAGACTTGTAAAGCGTGATTTTCATTTGCCAAGGAAGAGCTTTATTTTTCAATTACCAAACAAGAATGTCTTTCATAACTTCTCAAACTTCTAGTTGTCGACAGTGACATGGGTCCCATGACGCCTAGAAGATTTGTTTGTTGTTTTTCTAAGTTGGAAAAAGTCGCACTGATGCACAGATGTTCAGGCCAACAATATCAAATCTGCTGCTCCAATTCATCATTTTCAACATTAGATTGATCATTTGTTGTTTCTTCGCCTACGGTGGAAGGTAAACATGACTGTGATTGCACCTTTTCGACTTCTAGCTTTTGTTATGTTTGTTCACATAGCTTTTGCATGCCCATATGGCATATATGTGGATAACCATCCTGCATTATTACAAGTTTTTGTATGAAGGCTGAACAATAGTCTTCAATAGGGCAAGTAGTCTTTGCATCGAAGTCTCCTAAACGATTTTGATAGCATAATGGGGATTATATTTATATGCTTGTTCAAGTTGTTCAGTGAAAGTCTCTTTGGTATCGTCATCTTTATCTTCCATCGGGGTATATACACATATTGGGTGATGCATTGACATTGATTTTAGCTAGCCTTTCATTATTTGCTGTAAATGTTGAGCTTTTGGCTTACCGCATATTAGCCTTTAAATACTTCGTGCTGCATGGTAACTATAGTAAATATCACAAAGTGAGTTCAGATATTTTGAGGCGCATATTTCTAATTCACGTTCCTAAAACCGTTTGCTTGGGTCGTCACCTTATTTAATGTTGTGATCCAAGGCTTCCTTTCCGAAATCTTCAATAAGAAATACATTACTTCACTGCATATGTATAATATATTCAGAGGGTCTAACGTGAATGTTGTGTATCAACATGGAGGAAGAACTGACAAGGACGGTGTTGACATTAACCAAGTTAAAAGCTAGGAGACGCTCTACCACTTATGTTCCCTCAGTCTTCCGAATTATTTGCGTTGATACAAAAATCTCATTTAAAACAAAACAATTTGTATACGTCATCAGATCTTCACCAAATACCTTAATTGAACCGATAGTTTCGATTAACAGGAATTGAAAAAAATCAATGTGAATGAATCTAAT